AAATATAAATTCCGTGTTAGTAGAAGCACTGAGAAGAATCACAGAACATTCAACACGGAGTTCATCAATCTTGAAACCCCCAGCCGTGCATGACACGGAAGAGAGGCAGACTAAACTAGAGTGCTGTCCTGTGTCACGGTATGGTGTCAGTGTTGTTGTGAGAGCGGGCCAATGCGGCTCGGTTAGTTTTGCCTTGCAAGTTGAGCTAGCAGTCGCCACCAACGCAGAGCGCGCTAGCAAAAGCAGTTCGCGGGGCCTCTGCCTGTTATGTGGTTGGAGAAGAGAGGCCGCCGAGGGGGGAAGAGAGAGTTGATGCTGGCTGCGAGAAATAAAATTGATGGTGGCAGTTGTATTTTTACAAACAACAGGCTAGGCTAGCCTAGGCCCACCACTACCAGAGGTAGACCTAGATCTACATTTTTTTACTTTTTATCCGAGCTGTCTGAATCATCTACTAAAGGTCGCACGGCACACAGTGCGGTGACAGTGTTGAAAATTGGACCTTTGACATGCATGCATCAGCTTCCTGTGAGCTTTCGTCAAATATGTAATGTACAGAGGAATGGGAAAATAATGAAGAGTATAGTACAGGCTTAGATCTCTACATGACAAAATATTGTACAATTGAGACAATAACAGAACAAATGATACGCAGGCAAATACCTATTAACTCATAGGCCTAGTTCCCCCTCCCCCCACCAAAAAAATCATTGAGATAAGAAACAAAAGGAACTTACGGATAGCATAATGATCAGACTCGGCAAAGACAGTTGTTACAGTTTGGGGGTGGGTGGGGGGTATAATAATTTGGAATATTACGTGTCGTCTGTTTTACAGGAAAATAGTTTTTGGGGTTATTATACTCATTTCTCTAATGCTATTATATTGTAGTGACGGAATTAGAATATTTTTACCCCAAACGGTCTGTGTTTGGGGACGATTTCTATTTTTCGGACTCTTACGCTTTGCCTATTTTTATACTAGTATATCACTAGGCGGAATGCATTAATATTAAAGCCCGTAGAGGAAGGCATTATGTTAGTTTTGCTAGACCATGTGTATGGCTATCAGCAAAATGAAATCTAAAAACATATGTAGCGTAACATACATTGTAATACGTATAAAATGATATTATTTAGCTTCTAAAAGTTTATTTTTAAAAACTGAAGTTTCACGGCTGAAAACGTTTGTTGAGTAATTTCAACTGGAATAAAACATACAAACAGCAGCCCAGAACGTATAAAATAGTGCCTAAACAATGTTTCGCCACTTTGGCTCTCAGCCAGCAAAAGCAACATCCGAGCGCTTGTATTTTCTCTCCCGTATGCAAACGTTTGTTAACAAATAAAAGATACGTTATATA